TTCAGCAGTGAAGTATTTAGTACAATTGCTGGCAAAGTGTGTTACGTAGGCATCTCCTAAAATAGGAAGACCATTTTAGATTAACAATAGCAGCTAATACAGCTAGCAGATTAAAGCAGGCATAGGAGAGTGACTACTGGACTTGAGCCACATGAAATTTTTCTACTTCTTTGCACAGCATTTGGAACACAGTAAGCACAGCAAATATTAGGCTTTAAAAATGATGCATCTATCTATATTTAGTTAGCCTTAAACTTAACTAAGTCTTGTAAACCATTAACTAAAGCTAAAATGCCATGCACACATGAAAATAATAGACTCATACTGTAGATAACTCAGGTGTTTCTGCTGATGTACATCAGAGAAAACACAGCAAGCCAAATATTAAATATCTTCCTGCCATATAATCAGAAAGCAATTTTATTACGATAAACTTATGTGAAGTTTTAACATAAATCTGTCTGAGTGGGACTATTACTTAAAGAGAAGGATAATAAAGGCTCTAGAGAAAATATATTGGAAGAGAGAGGGCAAAGGAACTTCTAATAAATATTTAACCATTTAAATTTAACTTAACTTATACATTTAGTTATATTGCCTTTACCTGGCAAGTTGCTTGCTTCTATGCAGAATCTCTAAAATTGTTGAAGAAATACAGAGAGAAGCCTTACCCCATTGGCACAGCCACTCAGTACAGCACTGGCCCTCTGGAAACCAAAGGAAAGTCACACAAGAAAGGACAAACCAATTATCCCCTCACCCTACCTCCACCTCCCAGTAACAAGGCACATAATAGTATTAGTTACCAAACTGCTGGAAACTTAAAATCCACCGTTGAAGCTTAAGATTTGGACAGCGCAACCCATCAGCTGTTATGTGAGCAATGATACTTCAAGGAAACAAACTTTCCACCTGACAGGAAAGAAGGCCCCCTTTTTTCAATTAACGCTTTGGAACAGAATCTCAAGTCAGTTTTAGATGGACTCTGAAGACTTTTAGAGCACAGGGATGTTTTCCCCTAACCGCCTCCATCCCCCACACTAATGTTCCAATAAGCGCACTCTGGATAAGCAACTTCTAAATTTCTGACACCAAAACCTTGTATTTTTATCACCATGGAAAAAAGCAATCATCTGGCGATAGAAAGAAGGTGGTGGGGAATGGGGGCCAAGTGTGCTTGCTTGAGGACACAGAGACAGTAAGAATCCTTATCGACATTTTAAAGCACAGAACACAATGCTTAAAGTAACACCAAGTTTTTAAGAGATCATACGATCATACTGGAGCACAGCCATGTTACAGAATGCTCAGCACTAGAAAATAAAATATCCAGCTGGATGAATATTTCTCCAGGTTCATAAATCTGCTTGGATAAAAAAAGGTAAACAATTATTCCTCAGATTAATTGAAAGCTTGCAGGAACTACTAAATTACATATCAGAAGCACATGTAAGGCTGCAAGAAAACACAGTCAATGCAACAATCTAGTGGCTGTTCTTGTTTAAGAAAGGGGTATTTCTGCTTTCTCTCTGCCCATATTTATTTTTCAATTTTTTGCACCCATAAAACCAAGATGTCCAGAAATGAACTAAGTGAAGATTCAGATTCTAAAGACAATAACTGACTTCACAGCAGAAATCTGCAAGGCAATCTTTCCTTTTTTTTTTTCCACCCATCCAAAACAACTGTGCTTTTAAAAAATGGAATTCAAAGTCAAACTAAGGATTAGGAGGACACATTTCTTACATGTTAGTTTTGTTTCTGTTGGATCCATCAGAGAAACCTGCAAATATAAGAGAAAAAGAATGCAAGTTAAGCTACAAGTATATTCTCATTACTGGCATCGCAACCCTGCATTCAATAAGGTTATTTCGAAAGGTTGTTAAGAAACTCAAGACACACAAATTCCATTAAGGACTGTTGGAAAGTCCACAAAAATACTACTCACATTTCAGATATGCCATTACTTTCAAACAAACTGGGTTTTATTCTTTAAGAGGCTGCATACGCATTACGAGATCTTATCACACAAGTTCCCTCAAAATACAGTATTACCAACCCACAGGTCTCTACACTGACAATACTATTCTGACACAGCATCTATCACCCCAAACAATGTTTGACTGGAAGCAGAAACAGGACTAGTCCAAGTGTGGGAATGCAATAATTCTCTAAACTTTAGCCCTGCAAGCCTCATACAGATTCATTCAGTGCAGATGCTTTATCAAGACTACTCTCTAGTGACACACTGTTTCTAGCTACACCAACAAGAGGACACAAAGAAAATTAATGCACCAACTCAGGCTCAGAAGGATGTCTAGTGAAGACAGAGAAAGCAAGAACACATGGGCAGTACAATAAAGTCCAGATAATGCAACTATATTCTTCTCACATTAATCAACCTTGAAGGCTTTAGAGCCTTTTGTCTTGAAAAGACCACCTGCAGTATACTGCATACTGTTTAATACATCAGATTAAAAGCCACTCTCAGCAATTTCAAGATTTGGAAAGTGCCAAACTCAAAAACTTCCTTCAACTGTTAAACCACTACCCTAAAGTATCTTAAATTGTTGTGTCATCAAAGAAGTGCAGTAGCTTTGAAGCAGTGGTCAGCATTTTGTACTTGAATCATCTTTACATACTGTATTTAGAATTAAACTCAGATGTGCAGAATAAGACAATCCTGTGTCAGCTGCAAAAAGGAATGCTACAAGCGTTTAGTCCCACGCTAAGATCATCTCATCAGTTCCACGTGGCTTGTACTGCCAGTTCAGGATCTTAACCATGATAGATAGCTTCTAAAGCTATCTAGTGGTTAAGATCCATCAGATACATTTCCTTCCCATCCTAGGCAGTTCCTCTGGAGCAACATGGCTCAAAATAGCCTCACTGAAGTATGCAAGAGCTAAAGATGAGCATTCCTGATGAAGGCAGTGTGTATGCAAAATTAATTTGAGTCACCAACCCTGGAAGTATTTAAAAGACGTGTAGATGAGGCTCTTAGGGACATGGTTTAGTGGGCATGGTGGTGTTGGGTTGACAGTTGGACTCGATGATCTTAGAGGTCTTTTCCAACCTTAATGATTCTATGATTCTATGATTTAGATACACTGTATTCAGAAGGGACTCTTCACCTTTAGTACGCTACAACTCTCTCTTTAACGACCATAATGTACCAGGGAATGTATTCACGAAAAGGAGGGAAATGTGTAACTCTGAAGCAGTATTTTGTGTAATTACGGAAGAATAATAAAATAATACATACGATTGAAAAGTACTTTAGGGATCTCCCTAGGCTATCCTAGTTAACACAGAAAGGCTTTAACCAAACAAAAGTAGTTAGAAGGTTTTGGGGGTTTTGGGGTTTTTTCTTCCCCCCCTCCTCAAATCCTGGTTGGGAAAACATGCAGTAGGAAGCAAAAAAATCAAATTTTGCTGTTTCCTAGCATCCCATACTAATGTCAAAAATCTGACTGACTGCAGCTGGGAGAGAAAAGAACCACTGAACAGCCAAAACTGCTGTAACTACTTCATGATTTTCCTTCTGTGCCCATTCTCTGTACACAGGGATTTGTTGCAGTTACTTCACCAACAGGTTCTATAACTTGCCCAAAAACCTATAATGAGCCAGTGCTTGCCAGATGAAATTCTGCCAATTGGCAGCATCACTTTCTGTCCCAAGCAAGAAATTCCTGTGGTGGACAAGACCTAAGTGGATTGTCAAAAACATGAGCCTCTGGGACCCAGTTTCACATGCGTGAATACAATGGCAGTGCCATCTCACTACAACTAAAAAACTAAAAACCAAACAAAATACCCTGAACACTCCCAAAAAATGCTTACACTAAAAATCACAGAGAGTTGATTAATACCAAGGAAGCAGTAATCAAACCAAGGCATTCAAGTGCTTGTCAGAATAAGTGAAGTACAAAAAACCCAAAGAACTTTAAAAAAAAAAAAAGCTGTCATGGTAATAACATACTAGAACTTGATTCTTAGAAAGGCACCTGGGGAATTTTTTGACAAAAATCTACAGGAATAGTTTCCCAAACTCCTACATGATTCACTAACAAATACGTCTTTCTTTTCAAGAACAAGTTTAGATTAAACTTTAAAAATAGTACATTTCACAAACCCAAAGAGCTGAAAGGAGCTGTTCTTAAAATTACTGTTGTGTGTTTTGGGGGACAGGGCAGGGATTGACAATGAACATGCCAAGATTCAAGATAGAAATCTGATTAAGTAAGCCTCAGTTCAGACCATATCACAACTCAAAGATCACGAGTAGTAAGAAGGAGGATTATAAACTTTACACAACGCAGCATACTTAGAATTTCTTAATATCATGCTTAAACTTGAAAAGGAGTAGTTAAAACTGGGTTTGTAAAACTCATTCAGACAATCAGAAGAGAACCGCTTGCCACAGCACTGTGCTGTGATTATATTACACCATCTGGTCATCTCTAGCCTACACAGGGTGTGGCACAAATGGGAAATGCAGTATCTGGTTACCCAGAAAACTTTTTTCCCCCCAAGGTAGAGAGGATAGGGAAAGGCAATTTTTGGAGAGGTGGTTTCTACCTGCCCCCAATATTGCAGTGTCTTTGAAAAAAGTTTAAAAAGTCAGTATCAACCAGAAAATATCAAACAAACATTCCTTCTCTGTATATTTCAACTACTACAAGAAGTTGTGACATGTATATGGTTCCACTCGTAAAACTGCGGGGAAGAGGGGGCATAGTTAGCATTTACTTAAAGGGCAGTGTGATTCCTTCTACTAAAATTATATCCCAAAAGGAGCTGTGAATCTGCTTAAAGCTTTTACATTTGGCTGGTAATCCACAGATGCCACACAGATGGCTTTTATCCGGATACACACAAAGACACATCAGTCTATGTAAATTTAGGTACACTCCAGTCATGACATTGTAG